AACAAAAATCCCCGACCAATCAGAGCGCTCCTGCCCGTATGTCGTGCTCGTGACGAGAGCATAGGATTAAAGAAATATTGCATGCAAAAACGAACTAACAAATTCGTTAAATGTCAGAAGAAAGAAAGCGATTAGTCGTTACTTACGTTCACTGAACAAATGTAACATACTCAATGAAATAACTAACAACTTTACAATTTACGGAGTAGGTAGAATTATGAAAAATGCGAAAAGAACCAGAGTTAGACTTACTTTTTTATTGGTAAGTGCACCTGCTCCTAGAAGAACGTCAACGTGTCAATGGGTCGACCTTCGGCACTGGAAGATAGAAACACATGGTCCACAGCAGCTGATACTTGGAACAAGTCAGTGACCTGCACCTGACGATATTTTCCTTATCATCACTTACCCACTAGCAAATTTTCACAAAACAAATGTTAGAACGTACGTAACATGCGCTTCACTGGCTTTAGCGTCATCTTGCGTTCCTAATCACGCTAATGCCATAATTCATTTATTTCGTTTATCATTTGCCTATCGGCCTCTTTCCCTGCGTTTAACTCAGTTGGCCCCGTGCCGTCTTACTCATAAGACGCCTTGTCCATGTCTGTCCATTGTAATATGTTAGAAGAATAAATTGTTCTCATCGTTCCTCTTCGGCTTGGTGGGACATTATTATTATTCTAAACCTGGGTTCCTAACAACAAAAATTATCGCTTTTACACTTTCCAAATTCACTGCCACTTTTCATGTTACAAATCCCCTGTCACATTGCACTTTGCAATTAAAAATTTCCATACACGTTTTTATTTCAAATGTTAGTCCCGATCGGAATACCGTTCGCGGAACAGTTCGGCAACAAACGGTACTTTGATTATCCCGATTTTCATCTTGATGTATCAAAACCAAAAAAAAATGTATATTAGATTCTCTACCTGCGGTGATTCCTGAAAAGAGCTCATGTGCGCGCTGTCTCGCTTATTTTTTTTGCTGGTCTTCCGTGTAAACAGTTACTAAGCTATAAATATTTTATTTTTTCTCTAAGTTTTTGTGTTTATTATGTATAAATATAAGTTCATATTAAGCGACTGTGTGTACATTACTAACAATATTTCAACAGCGCCACTTACACTGTGTTTGACGACTATATCCGTCATCGCTTGATTATCGCGACAAACACCGGAGCGCGCTCTGCACAGAGATCGCCACGCTTAACTGGTTAATATACATATATTGCTAAGAATTATGCAAGAATATTAACGATATAGCCATAGATAATGTCAAAATTAGATACTGGCCAAAAATGGTACAACAAAAATACAATTGTACCACCTTTAGTCAAGTAGTGACCAAAAACAATACACATATTAACCATATTTGGCCAGTAGTTAAAGCATATAAAGGAGCACAAACTGTTTTCATGTCGAAACCTGCAGTTTCTGAAAAAAAAAAAAAAAAAAAAAAATAGCTGATCGCGCTTTGTCTACGTAATCCTGTATAATACGTCCTGATAATATGTATGTAAAATTAACAATGTTGCACCTTTCTCTACTTATTATAGTAAATAATGGAACGTAAGGAAAGAATTGTAAAAACAACTTGGGTGCCTGAAAAATTCGAAGAGGAGATACGACGATAAAAAGAACGTTTTGTCACAAAAAAGTAAACAAGACATTAAAGTCTAATTAATTAACGGGTGTAATGAAGTTGACAGTTTATCCTTGTACAATAATTAATGCAATACTTGTACATGAAAAATTGTGTATAAGAAATAAATGTTTGTAATTAATTAATACCTAGAACTTTCAGTATGTGTATTACCAATTACAGAAGTGACCATAAATGGAAAGAAGGCTGGCTAAAACAGAATCATTAGTAGTCACAAATATTAAAACTGCGATAATGCAATAATTTTTTTCAATTATTATGCTCTGAACGTCGTATATATTATATTTTGATTGTTTGTATACAGGGTGTTCCGTAAAGGGTGTAAGAGCCGAAAATGGCAGATAGGGAGGATCTTCCTGAACAACAATTTCCTTTGGCAAAATGCAGAATGGGGCTTGGTTACCGAGTTATTAACAAAAAACACGGACCAATCAGAGCCCGCGTAGACCGAGCGCTTTGATTGGTCCGTGTTTTTTGTTAATAACTCGGTAACCAAGCCCCATTCTGCATTTTGCCAAAGGAAATTGTTGTTCAGGAAGATCCTCCCTATCTGCCATTTTCGGCTCTTACACCCTTTACGGAACACCCTGTATACATA